GGAAAATTTCAAATTTGATATTTTATTTACGTGCATTTAAGGGGACCAAAAAGGCCAACTTTACTGTACCAATTAATACACTTTACGAGACTGGAAAATTTCAAATTTAATGTAATATTTACGTAAATTTCATAGCGATGTAAAGATCATATTTCCTATATGATTTAATTCCGTTTTCATACCATAGTAAAGTGCGCGTTTACTAAATTTACTGTACAGCAAATTTCGAAGTAAACTTTGAATTTACAATGCAAAAAAAAACTAATGTAAATCAACGTAAATTTGGTCTTTACTGAACGTTTCCTTGTAATTTCCTGCAAGCGTAAATCTGTTTTTTCTCCCAGTGAAGAATTCACGGCCGCGTTAACATTGACTGTTTGAAATACCGGTCAGAACTGAAAAAAGGCTACTTGAATCTCACAGCCAATTACATTTCTTTTCTTCCAGGAATAACCGAGGCCTGCAGCTCTCAAATGAAAGACGCAACTTCTGCTAGTAGCGATGAAAAAATTAGTAAGTCTGAAAGAATTAAATATAAAAACACCAAGTGGCCATCACAGCGTGTTAAGCGCTGGTTCTTTTGATGCAAGTTTTTATTCGGTTCTGAGTACGATTTCCATATTTTTTTCATGTTTTGTCATCAGTTGAACAGCAAAAGGAAAAGATCTCTGCTTTGGAGGAAGAAATAAACAACCTAAAGCAAGAAATAGTGACTTGAAAGAAAAACTTTCGAAGCAACCAGGTCAGTAGGAAGAATTCGTTATTACAATGTACTTGCAATAATAATAAACTTTAACATTTTGCCTGCCTTTCGACTGTGTACAGAGGAAATGACGAACTTGAGCGAAATGCTGCAGAGGGATGAAAGTTTCAATGACAACGCCAGTGTAACTAAAGGTTTGTTTTGACGTATTATATATATACATACTTAACTTATTTTCGTAGAATAGTTTTCTAGAGTGCTCAACATTAAAGGAGCAGTAAATATAGTTTAAACTAAATCAAGACTTTTGGAATTGATTCATTGTTTAATGCAACAAGGTGTTTTTGTTGAAGATCTTGTGTAGAGGGTAGATAGATAGCACTTAATGAAAGCGGATATCACCACAAACTAAAATTCAACCCACCAAGTAAAGTGCCGGCTCAGACGAACAAAAGTCGCAAGAAGAACATTATTTGGTATAACCCTCCATGGAACGCTAACGTTAAAACCAACCTTGGAAGAAAGTTCCTGAACGCCWTTAATAAATGTTTCCACAAAGACCACCCTCTACACAAGATCTTCAACAAAAACACCCTCAAACTAAGCTACTCGTGCATGCCTAACATAAAGAACATCATCGCCTCTCATAACAAAAAGGTACTCTCAGAAAGTAAAACAGCCCCACCACAAAAACCTGAAAAACAATGCAACTGCAGAAAGAAAGCTGAATGCCCACTACAAGAAAAATGCCTACAA